TATTTTAACCTTTCTTTGGACTTGGTTCTGTAGTTGTAAGATGACTAGTCGCTATCTCTTCACCAAGGTTCTAGTTGCCAAGGACACGTAATTTAACTAGAACCGTAAATCTTGTAACTTAGGACGCACAACATGATTATTATTTCTGAAATTCGAAATTCTCATCTGAAGGAACACACTAAAAGCAGTGCTGACGTTTACAACCACATTCCAAACGTTTGCAAAACATTCCAAACAAAAACCAAGCATCCTTCTTTCTACTTCGTATAAGCAAGCTTTTTCTAGTGAATATTTCATTTCTTAAATTTTTTAAAATTTATTTTTATATAAAAACCTCATATAAATTGTACTCAGGACTTTTTTTTTAGCAAGTTTACTGTTTTAGTGTTTAATGTTTTTTCCGTGTACCTAATTAAGTGCATATGAAATAATTATGTAATTGTTTCGTGTTTTTTTAGAAGGAACTCCTTCATATTTCGCCTTCGTATTTGTTCCATGTTTTGATTATAAAGGAATTCCTTTACGAACCCGCCCCACCACTGGCCGAGCGGATAAGCTCGCTAAATACTGGTAGTTCTACTTGCGTACGAATCCAGGCGAAAAGGCTGGCTGTGTGGTTGGTTTTCATGGTAGATATTTTCCCACGTTTAACGTGAATATAAGCCAGTTTTCCTTAGAAAGATCTCTTCGAAGGCATCCCTTCCCTTAGGCAGAGAGTTCTCGTGTGCTTTGCTGCAGTCGAATAACCTAACCTTTGCGTCTTTGGAACAACTGTCTACTATGTACTAAAATGTTGCTTTGTCACTGAAGAAATATATTTACATTATAAATTCTAAACTGTTGCTCAGGAAAAAAATTATCGGATTGCTTGGGGAGAGTTAGCGTTTGTCAAAAATATTAAAGTGCAGTATTTTAAACTTTTCTTGAATTTTGAATAAAAGGTATTCAATTTTCAAACATTATGCCAAAAATTCTTAAGAGTAATATTTTTGTACTGTGACAATCTCGTACCCCCTGTCACGATCTGATGAAAAGACTGATGTTTTCTGAACTTCAGAAATATCATTCATAGTGACATTTTGCATTTAAAAGTGCATTATACTTCTCTGTATTTTATTACGAAGTCTTTGACCAGCAGATCCTTTAAACACTTGACTGAACGTAAGCTCTGTGATGCAACATTTACTCATCCTGTCTTCCATCCGTGCATTTACCTCTGTTTTGAATACAGGTAGTTTAGGGTCAGATCCTCAAGGTCGTAAACCAGGTTACGTCAAAATCGTAGTAAACCCGCGCATTTGAATTGCAGTCGTCTGCTTCTTCGATGTGTGCGCTTTAAGTTTTGTTTTGATCGAAGTTAGGGTTAAGATATCCCAGTAATTTTGAAATGAGGGTGATAGGTAATTTATTCTCCTCATTATGTTTGTTTTGGAATTCTAAAGTGAAAATCTTGATCTTGAACGTAAGTGCACTGTGGTTAAATTTCCTCCTGTTGCGCATCGACCGTAGCGCACGTTCACCTTTTGCTTTTCGTAGCAAAGAACCCATACTTTGGCGATAAATTATCAAGCTGGCGAATTGGCGGCATAAGCATTAACTGCATCTCGAATTTTCCGCGCTATTTTTTAGGGCATCCTGCGTTTATCTGTTTAGATACGAAGTTTCGGGTCGATTTCAAATAAGATGTGTTACTCTCGTGCTTTGTACAGAAAATTTCCCTGTGTTTTTGAAGAACTAAGAGTTTTAAAAGTTGGTATTAATAGTGTTATTGTATATTTCTTCATAGTCAAGGGTTTCTAAAACTTTTTAAATTATATAAATAAGAACCAAAAATATATGTACCGAAAGAAGCGCTATTTTCCATTTAAATTTTTTGTGTAAAAATTTTGTATCACTAGCCCTGTGTCTTTCCCGTATTAAAATAACATAGCCTAACCTGAAAGCTAGCCATCGTTTGTTTTGCTGTATTCAGTTAAACAACAACAAAGAACAGCCTTCCCATAGTTATGTCTTATCAACATACTATTAAATTTTCCAATTTAAATATATTAACTTGATAATTTTGTGTATATATATGTAATAAGGCGCAGCTCTGTTTTCCCTTGTCTTTTCTTTTTATTAAAAGAAACTTAAAGGGCACTTTATTTTGCTTCACTTAATACACTTAAACAGACTTGCGAATTATCATTTAAAGCAGAAGGTATTTGTTTCTTATTTATCATATGCTATTTTTTGCTTCATGTGAGTTACGCTAGCTAACAACGAACAAAAAATCAACAGTGTATGATTAGACAATTAAAAGAATAGTAGTAATAAATAACGAATTATTTTTAAAAACACCAAAAGGAAAGCGTACGATAGATGCGCGATTATTCATTGTTATTTAATACTATAACGAATGGGGCTTGCTTATTCAATAGACTAAATTTGCCCTTTGACCGTTGCGCAATAGTAGCGAAAGGCGGAAGTAGCAATAAATAATATTTATTGCCCCCTTTTTTTTTTAACTTCACCATACTGGCGGATATCCATTTAAAGTAAGGATAATTTTTCACATTATTGAAGCAACAAGAAAAATATTACATTCTTTAATCTGTTTATAACGTTGATGTTTGAGTATCAAGTTTTAATACTAATGTAATTTGTTGCAAAAACGAATCATAAAAATAAAGGTCTGATTTTCATTCTTTGCTTAAAAATGACGAAATAAATGTCTGATTTTTAATTTTTTATTTCAAATTTTTATTCATTTTTATTCGCAAAAACGAAAAATAAAGAGCTGATTTTCATTCGTTATTTTGACTTTTTATTCATTTTTATTCGCAAAAACGAAAAACTAAGAACTGGTTTTCATTTTTTGTTTCGACTTTTTAGTAGTTTTTATTCGTAAAAACGAAAAATTAAGAACTGATTTTTATTCTTTAGGAATGAAAAAAATCGAAATAAAAAATGAAAAATCAGTTCTTTATTTCCATTTTATCAAAGCAAGCCCCCTTTGAGCAAATGGATAAGGCTGCATAACATTAATAGCTCGTTCCGGTTTTGGATAGCCCTTGTGTGTTTTACTATATTTAATAAATAAATCTTCCTGAATTTGATTCTTTACTGGATTTGATTTACTCATGGGCTCACTGCATGGTCTTTTTCTAACTTTCCCCAACTGTAACTTGAATACGAGTCAGTTTTCCTTAGAAAGTTCACCGCGAAGGCATCACTCTTTTTAGTCCTCGCGTACTTTGTTGTAACAATCAACTAACCAATTCTGTTTTGCTGAAGCAGGGAACAGTTTTGAAAATTTGTTTCGTAACGCTTAACTTCACGTTGTGCGTTCTCTGTGTCTCATTTGGATGCTTGAAAATATAGGATATCTTTAATATGTGAAATGCAGATTTTAAGTCCATTAGTTATGAATAGAATTGTAATTCCGAGTGCGAAAATCATAATTCTAAAATAAATAGGTAACATTAACTAAATGCATCTTTTTAAAACTTATCAGTCATGATCATTGTAAAATCATTTTATGAACAGGCTGATGGAAACAGATGTAATAACGATATCGAATAAACAATAAATGGAATTCGAAATAAATCCATAATGCTGTTTCTTTCCTTACCCTCAGTTCACAACACATTACAAAATGCTCACAGTTAAAACATTTATGTAGTTTTTTTTTTTTTTTTTCATATCAGTTTTGCCTAAGTGTAAGATAACATACTGTAAAAAAGACCTCTTGAAATTTACAATTGAGTAGTTTTTACAAAACTTCTTTCTTAGCAAAATCCTGATTTTATGCTTTGACAATTAATGTTAGAAAGCATTTATTCTGTTGATATGTGAACATGATATGGGGGTAATTTTTAATTAACGTATGTCTCACTTAGCACTTTCAGGTCTACTTTTCCTTCAGCTGCCTGACTTATCTATCACGTTTACCAATATTTAAAGTATCCCAATATACTCTAGTCAAGAAACAAATCTTAATGAAGTCGGTTCTCTACTAATGGACTCACTACATGGGCTTTTCTTAATTTTCCTCGATTTTAATGTGAATACGAGCCAGTTCTCTTTTCATTCAGATAGCCCTCGCGTGCTTTGCTGAAAAACTGTAGAAATAGATAATTTTGAAAATTATAATTCGTAACTCTAGTGTCTCATTTGGATCCTGTATCATTTTTTATGGAGACTAACCAAATTTATCTGGTAGTCAGATTTCTGCTATAGAAGATATAGGGGTTGCATGTATTAATTTATCTTTAAGGGAGCAATTAGAAACTAAATGATAAGCTGCACCATGATGATATCGAGTATATAATTCACAAAAATGATGATCATAATGCGTAGCGCACTAATGAGAAAAGTGCATCTAGTGATTTGTTTTTCGGAATGCTGCTTTTGTCAGATGTTCCAGTGATTAAGTTTGTGTCTCTGCTATTATGCTACCGTTATCGACATATCACTAATAATGTGTCAAACATATGTATATCAAATTCACTTCCTTGATTTACATTTGTGCCTTATTATTTTTTTTTTTGAATAGTTTTTAAAGCTATTTAAACGCTTTTTTTTCCTCATTCTACGGGTTATACGAAGAAAAATTTATTGCGCAAAATATTGCAACATAAGTTTAGTAATAACATTAGTTTCATATTTTTAATTCGGAATACTGAGATGCGCGAATAATTTGCAAATTAATTATATATACATTGCAATATTTGCTGCTAATAAGAAAGAACTGTTTTATTAAAGTTTTTGCCCGAAGAATTTATAAATTAACTATAATATTTAGGAAACGTATTTTTCTTTGATAGAAGCTAAAGTTACTTTCGGTTTTTGTTTCGAGATTAGACAAAAACGGGTATTGTCCGCATTATATTGGCGAAGTCTTAGTCTCCCTTCGCAACACAGAATTAAGAAGCGATTGTCATCCTGTCGTATTTGGCGATGTTTCGCGATGTGAAACATTCCTGCGACAGGAAAGCAACCCTGTTCTATTGATAAGAAGAAAAGTACGGTAGCTGGGTTTTGGCGTCGAGGCTATTTCAATAGCACACTAGACTCGTAAGATGGCGGGCTAGCTTGCTAGCGCCTCCTGCCAGTCGAAGCCAAGACTGGATAAACTATCTATGCAAAGGTAAGCGGGATAATGGTGAAATTTTATAGACAATATTACTCTTTCGATCGGTAATAATCTATAATTCGTTTTAATGGCTGTATTCCTGAATTTCGAAGGAGCTTTAGCGTAACTGTCAAAATGTACTGTCTGTTTTCTATTATTGCTTGATTGACAATATGGCGTTTATAAACGCCAGTAAAAAGTCGGTGCGTAGTTGAGATTAACAATTATACTTTTAAAATTTCATGTTATTGTGTCTTTTGATATAAGTTTAAAATGAACATGTTATATGTTGTACTGTTGGCCTTCATTATGAGCCATTCGAGTTACATGTCGGAGTATTACGCTGCTCATTTATAGACATAACTTTGAATTGCTACCGTCCCAGATCCTTTAAAATTTTATAAACAAGTTTGTCTTACTTTTGAGTCTTGATATTCAGCCAGACTAAAAAGAAAACTGGAAACTTCGTTGCAGTTTTTTTTTTTTTTTTTTCACGTTTCCGCTGATGTTAAAGTGCACGGCCAGCAGACTATCATTTTTTGGTGGAATTCAGATATTATCGCTGAATAATCATATTTCTGGTAATTGTAGAAAAACTTTTAAGCGTAATGCATTTTTTCTTCTCTGATCCCAGAGGAAACAAATCTGGCACACTGTAAATTTTTTAACTACCTTGAAAATGTCATTGCTGAATGTGTGCTTTCATAAACGTTAGACTGAAAACTATAAAATGTTGAACTGTCATTGCTGAATGTGTAACATAAAAACATGTTTTGAAATTCATGATGAAACTACTTCTATTGCAGTATTATTGAAGAATTTTTTCGAACTACAGTAAAAATTGATATCTTTAATGTTTTCAAATAGTAAATAACTGTGACCATGGCTTATATATGTTATGAGAAGGATTTATTTACATAATTGGTCACAATGAGGGCTCAGCCTTCATTGTCAATATGAAGTTGTCAAATAATTTCTTTGAAATATTTCTTCTTGCTGCTATTGTGCAGGCTAGTTAATGAAGCAGAAAATGCTGTAAACGCAGTTTGTATCATGTTCGATTCTGGCAGAACAAGCAGACATTATATTTTGCGGTTATCCTCATGTAAATGCGAGCTTATGTCTTTTAGATCATCCTTCACAAATGGCCATTATCCTTGTGCATATTTTGCTGGAATAAAATTACTACTGTTAGTTATGAAAAGCCAATTTGCATTTGATTCACAGCAAAGCAAAATAATCTGGTTGTTCATCGATTCAGCTTATGAACTATTTTGAGACGAATATTTATTGTTTTCGTTATATCGTAATTTTTCTGCTTCAAACAATATGAATTGCAAAAATTTTGAATTATCGCCATTACGAGCGTGGGCATACGTGCCAGTTTGTTTACATTTAGTTAATGCCCACTAATGGAAGTACTGGAAACTATACAACATATTCTTCCACGCTCTTTTTTTCAAATTTTGTGTGCTTTCTACAGTCTTCTTAAAAATGTACTTGTATTTGGCTAAAGTTTAATATCATGATGTTCTTTGAAATCTAGTTTCTTCCTGAAGTTCTGAGGACCGAAAATGCTGCTGTTATTTTCAAAATCAAAGATGAAAAATTTTTTAAAGAATTTTTTTATATACAGTGTAAAAGATCTGATGGAATGATAGAATATATACATTCGTCAGCCGCTTTTTATATTGTCAACATTTCGCGGAATTTGGCGGCAATTTTAATTGTTCTTTTCTGCTGTGAATTTTTACTTTAGAAGCCTGCTGTTTAAGCAAGTTTGCATACATCTGTAATTTTCACTCTACCTTTTCTGTTTAAAATTCCATTTACGGCTTAATTTTATTTCATTTAAGGTGGAAAGAATTGCAAAAATTGTGTGAACTGTATTCAATATATTAAACTGAAATATATATATATATTCTCTCTCGCCGATGTAAATTGAATCGGCGATTTTTCGTTTAATGTTCCGTAGCAGATTGTACTTGGACTGTTAAATTTGTGTTAGGAAATTAAATTCTGTAATGAAACAGTTATGTAAATTGAAATATATGTACTCGATTCGCAAAACGCAACTTAAATTTCATTATAGTTATTGTAAGAGTTCGTATAGTTTCTTATTCTTGCGTTTGAATGAAAAATTATGTTATTTTCCAAAACGTCTTAGGACAAGAAATGATCATTTATATAATTTTATTATGTAATTTCATAGTTGGTCACAGGTAAATGGGACACTTAGTTTTTCTGATGGCAAGTCTGTGAACTTTTACTAAGTTTTCGGCGGCAGTAGTTGTACTGTATTATTGTTTAGTTTTATGTTGGGTAAAAATTCGTGGCGTTAGTAAACTGGAATTTTAAAAAATTGAACATATTGGAAATTTGCCAGTGTTTGGAGAGAAACCTCTTAAAAACGATTTGGCGCCAAAATTAGTGCCGGATATTTTGTATCGTTGGTGTTTGTGTTAACGAATCATCGGTGACCATGAACTTACTTCATTTCATCTGAATATCAATATACTTTGTAACGAATAATGGATTAGCACTGGAACTGAAATTTTTCCGAATAATTTTGAACTAATTTTTTGAAATTTCAGGAAATCTCAAATATTCGAAGTAACGGACCGAAACTTGGCTGTTAGTCACCAGTCATACATATTGTGATGCGTTCATTGTTCTCCGTGTTTTAATACTGTTTAATCATACAAGTGCAGCGTTCATAGCTTTCGCGATATGAGATTTTTCTCCCTCATTTAAAAGCACAGAAATTACTGGAGAATATTCAACAAATATAAAATTTAGTATAATGAAGGCTTTAAAACGCGGAAAGTAGTTTATCCGCAAATTAAATTTTCTTTCACATAAAAGCCTTTTTGACAGAACTATACTAATGGCCTTCAAATTGTTTTCCGTATTGTCGCGAAGATTCGGATCGTTTACAACGAAAAGATCTGAATTTTAGGAAAAAAGTCGACATTTTTTATTCAGATTAAATCTCTGATCTCTGATTTTTTTAGATTGTCAACTTTTGGCCATATTTTCTGAGCTTAAGCAAATAGTTTTAATTTCCGTGATTTTGGATACTTTTAGAAAAATTATCCTTTGTTTTCATGTTTCACTTCAAGCAAAATTACCTGCCTAAATGAGCATTATGATAATGTATTCTAATTTTGGTAAAGACTGCAACAACATTTTATATGAGGTGAAATTCTCATAAAAAAAAGGTCTTTGCTTAGATGTTTTTTTGGAAATATTACAAAAAACGTTTTTACATGAATGGACATTTTGGTACCGAATATGTGACTTATTGAACTGCTTAAAGTATATGTGTAAATAGGGAAAAAGGTATTGTGGTGCTCTTACTCTCCTGTCATTGGTATTTAGTGAGAAAATCAAAAATTGAAATGCTTTAGTGTTGTAATCACAAGCTACCTGAATATGCAAACTATATTTCTCAGTGTGTAAAAAACTGAAGATTAGTATTTATGAACTGTATTTTTAAACTGCATTTGAATGTTTCTAAATTCTGTTTTTAATAATTTTGTGCCTGAATTTAATAATTTAAATGTAATGCTGACTTGTATAATGTCATTATATGATTTATTTAATGAATGTAAATAAAATAAACTTGCCTTCTAATTTTGTAGTTGGCTTATGTTTCATGTGTGTTTAGTTATTTTAATCACATTGTAATCTTAGTTTTGAAAATTTCAAATCATGAAAGGGATTGATATTAAGTTAATTATTTTTAATTTTTCTTTTCAGTAAGCTACATAAGTCTTTCAATTCATATAATTTTAAATACGAGAATGATTTTTTTGGCTTCTTAATTACATTACTTAGGTTTTATAAATATCCATTTTTGATTAAATTTTAGAACTATTACTGTGTAAATTTTACAATATGATTTAAAATTTAACATGATCAGTTTGATTGTGCCTGAATTCATGTTGATATATATTGATAAAAAAAATTGAAATATCAGCTCATTGTACCTGTTTTCATGTAATATGACAAGATAATCAGTTCAGTCTTTTCCCCCTTAAATGTTGCATAACCATTTGTTAAATATTCCATGTCATTTCTGTATTCTTGGAATATTTTAGCTGACTTTACATCTAATGTTTAATATCCATCTAACTAGACTTGGATTTCCAGAACTGCGAAAAGTTATCAAATCGGATGTTAAAACTGAACTTTATAGCTGTGATAATAGCCTTGAGGCTTTTTGCTTCTGTTGCTGAATATTGTCATGAAAATAGATCTAAAAAGCATGAAATGCTATTTTACATTTAAGGTATTGGGAATTTTTGTAGGAATTTCAAATAAGACAATTAATGTAAACATTTAACCCATAGCTTTACAAAGTAACTTGATGAGAATTTTTCAGTAAGACTACATCATCTTAATGATGCATGTGAGTCTTGTGTAATACATACTGTATTGCATAGTAACATTATGTATCTAATCCCCTCCCTTCTGTATGATTTGATTCTTTCATTTATACTGTATGATTTAATTCTTTTCATCAACATTGTCATCTCATTTCATGCTCACAGCATTGAGATTGAAACATCAATTTGAAAATTGCACGAGTCATTACACTGTATCAGTTGTGTTGTTGTTAGTTGTGAATACTTTAACATTTTGTATCATGGCAGCTGTCTGGTGTTAAAGCCCATATTTTAGCATATTTCTCATCTTTGCAAGCTCACTTGATCATTCTTTGTAACCAGTTGGGAATGTCTTAAAATGAGATAAAATAATTTGTAGGTGGCCGTGTAGACTCCTTCAGTAATACATACTGTTTCTTAGTAATTTGGAAAAAACTCATGTCGTATGATAGCAATTATTGTAGACTAAGATAAATCATATTTGTGTTTTTTACGTGATTGATATTCTGTTACCAGCCGTTTCATTTGCTATTAACAGCCTGACCAATAGCCAAGTGGTTAAAGCCTGCTGAATACTGGTTGTTTGCCTCGGATGTGAACCTAGCTGACTGTTGACTTAGGTTT